GTTCGAATCCCGGCAAGAGCATGGTATATTTTTGACGTTTCCTGCTCTGACAAACCTAATAAGCTCTGCAGTATACTGCCCGTGATATTATGGAATCATTTAATGGTTTGTAAAACTAAAGTAAGATTTGTAAAATTTTGTACAAGTAAGAGGGAAAAAAATCAATTTAAATGTGAAAAATAAATTCTTCTCTTTGGAAAAAGAGTGCATTTTGTGTAAAATATTATTAAATTACTCGAGGCATCTCTGAACTAAATGCTTTCCCTTATGGGATGAGTTTCCCGACCTGAGACTCTCCTGCACAACTAAAATCATTACTTAGAGTAATAATTAAGGACAATTGTTATCTTTCACGGATATCGGTTTGATTGTAAAGAATAGTTAATAACAATACTGTCTGGATGCTTCATAATTTCAGGTACTAGTACTTGTGGTATATTGTATTATCACGCAGGATGCACAGAAATCCTAAAACAATACACGCAAAGCATCCACGTTATTGTAACGTATTTTTGAAATGTAGTTAATAACTTTAATAACCATGTCACGTAATCATCGATGCAGTGATCGTAACATTTACTGCTTGTATATCCAATTTTCCGCGATGGGTCTTACGCCTCAGTTGATATGTATTTTTTTATTCCACTGTTAATTTTTGTCAATTCAGTGTTTTTCCTTTGTCTTTGTTTATCATTAAAATTCGTCGTAGAGAATAATATTTGGGTATTAGAGCTTGGTATTACATTGAATAGATAAGCTTAAAGTCGAAAAAGGTTATAATTCGGTATTATTTCAATGACAGATAATAGTTGTAATCGGTTTTTATCTTCACACAGTACCATTGTCCGGGACACTAAAACATCCGGAAGGCTAGAATTGTCAACTTCTGCGAAGGGGGAAATCTTCCAGTCAACTCAAAATCTACGAAGCAAATTTCATGTTTACAAACTCGCGAGAAGAGGGCCAAAGGATCGGAGCGAAAATATAAAATCAGAAGTGTCCATGAATTGAAAATGGATATTTATTTTGAGATTCGTAACAACAACAGCAGCAGTGTCACCCTGGACGGTTAACTGAGGCTGATGGTTAGCTCAAACTCCAAAAGAGCGAATTCGAATACCGTGCAAGGTTTGGTTGCTATCTTCCTTCCCATTTTGCAAGTCGGTCTTCTTCCTGTAGTGCACCCTAGGCAACACTGTCGCTGATGAGACTGTTAAATCATCAATGGATTGGCTTTTCCAAACAAACGACAACTTGAAAACGAAGTGCCCGGTCATTTAAAAATTAAATAAACAAACAGATAACGATGGTATGATTTCTTTTGATGACTAATTTCGTAGAAATAAAACAAAACCTTACCATACACTACGAATTTACACTGAACATTCATTTGCAATTAGCATTACCCTGTCTTTCAATCACGAAGTTTAACTGCAATGTCTTTTTGCCATCCTTTTGCGTATTCTTCTGCTTATTCAAAGTTCAGGCTCATTTAAAACCATTCTGTGGGTATTTTCATGCTTATTTAGAGATGCTTTATTATCCTGCTTATTTCAAAGTTACCTATTATCCTGATTATTTCAAAGCCATTCTCTGCGTATTCTCTTGCTTACTTCAAAGCTGGCTACTAGCTATAAATATCAGTGTGGAACACTGATAAGCATTGATAAATGTTGAGAATAAGCACTAATAAATGCTGAGAAGTGTTATTAGCGCAAAGGGGCGTTAGACCCAAAGGGCTATTTAGTGTCAAAACGGCATTTTGCATCGTTTCGCATTCTGCATTTTCAAACTGTAGCCACCAAATATTATCGCCATGAAGAATCTGCATGAATGCTTCTCGCTTTGTGAAAAAAAAAGTACTAGAGCCATCAAATTTTGAATAACGTAGTCCTCCAACCGAACATGGACATTTGGAAGCCCGAATTATGAATTCCGAATTTGTTTTACTATCTATTTCACATTTTGTAAAACTTTAACGAATTTTTGATTAACAAACTCAACAATTTCAAAGCAAGCAATGGCAACACTGTACGGACAGAGACATTCTTGTCTTTAGCGCGCGAGACTATGTATTGGAAATTCTAAAGATATGCTGTTTTGAAATAGGTTATGATATTTGTGTTGAATGAAATTTTGAGTGGTTTAAATGCGAGGAACAATTATTAAATAAAGGTAACTTACAAAGCGTTAAAAGAACGCCCTTTTGGTCGTAATGTAAAATCTGAAAACTTTCATATTTTTTTAAAGAATTCTTCTGAATTGGTTGACGAACACTGTATCGTGTTTCAAGCAATAATAAGTCAAAACTAAATATTTGGACTTCAAATTTTACTATAACAGTATTTTAAAATATATGAATATTTGTGTATTAAAGAGGTCAAAACAATTACGCATAGGTGCCATTTTGAGAATATTTAGATGCAGAATAATTTCAGAGAAAATAAAGATTTAAAAATAGGATTCTTTTTTTTAAATACCTAACATTTCTTTTTTCCGCGTATAATAGATATCTATTATGAAATGTCTATTGGCATTTAAGTTGTTTAGTTTTTTATCCCCAAAGTAGTACTTCAAATCAAAGCAGTGAAACACAATAATTTGCTAAGTTAAATTAGTTTATAAAAATAATGCGGATATGTTTAGGTTTTTAACCTAAGCATATAGCAAAATGTAAGTAATTTTCGCAAAACTCCTTTTTATTTTACTCTGCATTCAGTTGAGACGATTGTTCAAAATAGTTTAGTTGGAATATAAACGATCTTTGATTTACCTAATAATAGTTTACCATTATCTATAAAGCCGCATTTAAATGCTTTTGATTTTATGATAATACGCTATGCATCAGTTGAAGCGCTGTCATTTAATGGTAGTTTAGTTTTTCAATCTTCCGTAAATTTTCATGATAGAATTTCCCACGTTTCTAAAGTAAGTATATTATAAATCAAAATTTAATTTTTCGTGGGAAAGGAAGTTTCTATTAATCATTAAAAGCATAAATGCAGCTTAAATTTCATAACTGCTGACTAAAAAAATGTCTTATCAATGCAAGATACCATGCGCAACTGGTACAAGCGTAGCATATAAAAAATATTTCTTAATTTTCTCGTAATGCTTATGTAAGCAAAGGAAATTTTATTATTAATAATTCTTATGCTTATATTTTTTTATCTTATGAATCATTGCGATTACATTGTTCACTTATGATTTTTTGAAAATTTAAAGAAAAAGGATGAATTTTTATTCTCATTTCACATATTTAATCGAACTGAATTTCTGAATAGGACGCTGTTTAAATATGTCTTCGCATCAATCAATGGTTAAAAAAGTAACGTCGCAAATAGCTTTGAAAAGGCTTCTGTTATTAGTGCACGTTTTTCAAGTTTGCTTCATATTTTATGCTTCAGTGATACACTTAGAAACACTTTTAGTTGATATACTTAGAAAATGCTCTAACTATCTTGTATTTTAAAAACAGATTCCATACCCAATTGGCATATTTAAAATAAATAATAACTGCCTTCGTGTTGGTGTCCGCCGATAACATCGCGGCAAAAACATGGCGGACGAAAACGTCGCGGAGAAAACAACGCAAGGCGAAAACGTCGTGCTACAAAACATCGTGGGTGAAAATATCGCAAAGAGACAACATCGCAGTTCTAAAACATCGCGGTACAAAATATCGTCGTCGAAAATAAAGCGGTTCAAACACTTCGCAGTTTAAAAACATCGTCGTCGAAAATATCGTGGTAAAAAATAAAGTATCTACAAATCATCGCATGACGATAACATCGCAGACATACTTTTTTCAGGTTTTAATAATTGTAAATGGATATTCCCGTAATGATTTGTGAGCGCAAGATGGAAAGAAGGATAATTTTTACTTTCATATTTTTTATTAATCAATCAATTTTTGCTGAGATAATAAGGAAACTTAAGCATAGAAAATTAATGCAACTTATAGCACTTAATAGAATTTTAAACCGACATAGTTAACTAACAAAGGCCATTAATAAATCATTTTTTATGAAGTTTTTACTGGTAATTTTTCATGAAAAGTATAATCTATAAGTTGCATTTAATTTTCTATGCTTAAGTTTCCTTCTTACTTTTTCAGCAAAAATTTATTAGTTAATAAAAAAGTGTGAAAGTAAAAATTATCCTTCTTTACATCTTGCGCTCACAAATCATTATGGGAATATCCATTTACAATTATTAAAACCTGAAAAAAGTATGTCTGCGATGTTATCGTCATGCGATGATTTGTAGATACTTTATTTTTTACCACGATATTTTCGACGACGATGTTTTTAAACTGCGAAGTTTTTGAACCGCTTTATTTTCGACGACGATGTTTTGTACCGCGATGTTTTATAACTGCGATGTTTTCTCTTTGCAATGTTTTCTCCTACGATGTTTTGTAGCACGACGTTTTCGCCTTGCGTTGTTTTCTCCGCGACGTTTTCGTCTGCGATGTTTTCGGCTGTAACCCTTCGTGTTTTCTGCATAATGCCAAAATTTAAGCGGTTTTTCCCCAAAAATTTTATTTAGAATTTTAATTTGAACTTATATTACTTCCTGCTTGCATCCCTTCTGTTAGAATTTATTCCTTAATAAGTATTCATAAAAGCACATTCATATATATTTTTTCGTGGCTAGTATTTTAAAAAATTACAGGAAGTCTAAATTTTAAAATTAAATTGAAGATTTTACCTGTTCCCGAATGGCAGCATTCTAAGATCTAGTTTTGTGAGATGCGCAGAGAACGTAAATTAAATGTCTCGTCTTTTACGCAGTGGCTGCACTTAACTAAAACGAGTGAATAATATGTGAGAGGTAACGTAACGCAATGTGACCGTTCAGAAAACTGTGGAAAGACTCCGCTAAGGACGTTTTTAACATCTATGTCTGCTTCTTTTGTTCTTTAAATGTGTTTTAAGTTTCGAGTTATAACATAATATTTTATAGAATATGATTGACCTGCGTCTTCTTTACAGCAGCACGTGGCTCTGATCTCGAATCCTTTCGCTCACGTCTGCCCGATGTGCCATAAAAGCTTCGTCAGTTCCGAGTCTCTGATGGAGCACATGCAGATAATGCATAAGAGCGGGAACAACCTCGGCATGTCCACAAGTAAGAGAATTTCTTGTTTTATAATTATATAACTAACGATTTTGTTGTCTTAACTTTTTCTGTTATACCCGTAATGAAATTCTGTTGTCCCGTCCACTCATACCTTTCAGATGCTTTTTCAATTTTTTTTCATACTGTGACGCGATGCATGAAGTATCCCACAGGTTTCAGGTTTTTGCTTATGACTAAACTTCATCAGTTGTAAGAAAATAGCTCTGCCATGTAACTTACTTCTGACGGAGAAATTTCAAGTTACAATTTTTACAAAACTTTTATTTGACCTCTGTATATTAAAAATAGCAACAGCCATGTAAAACAAACAGAAGCAGCAGCTAGTGACTTTCGAATTTTGTGATAGAAAATTAAACATGCTGGTAAATGTTTATATATATTGGCTCGTTCAAGTATTGTTAGGCATCCAAATGATTTGAGAATGGGTCTCAGGGTGATAACTCCTCAAGGTTAGATATCAGGACAAAACTCACGAGCTACGCGCCGTGAAATCAGATGATGCAATTTTCTGAGGGATAAACATAGAGATTGAATAACCTGTGAATAAAACTTATATAAAAATTATAAGCTTGTTTGTTTTAGTTTCGAATTGCTAAAATTGCCAGTATCGCTGAATACAGCTGTAGCGTCATTAGAGTTTTTGGAAGTGGAAGACATGAAAAATGAGCAAAGTCCTCGCCGGGACTCGAGCTTGGACCTCTCGAATACGAGCGAGTGTGCTACCGATACACCACGAAGGTATGCTGGAAGAAGGGAGAAAATACCGTATACAGCATCTGCTGATGCACTCTTGAAGGTTATTATTATCATTATAATTAATACTTAGATTTTGCAATTGTTTTACAGTATCCAAAATTCTGACATAATTATTTGAATTCTGTTCCTCTCTTCATTTGGTATAAAACTCACGTCAACTTTGCAATATCCCAAGAAACCTAATGGAGTTCATATTTGAGAATTGTTTCTTTATTGCTTCAAACCGCATATATCGCGACATACGCAAAACATGCGCTTGTACATTCAGATATGTTTATGTGTGAAAAAGGTTTGATTGGTGTCATTCATGCGGAAGAGATTTTTTATGTTTTACGTTTTTTTTCCGTAAAGAAAGCATACATTTTGTCGCTCCCGATTTTGCTCAAACTCCGTGCTATTATAAATGACTATAAAAGCAATTTATCGGAAACTGCCTCGCGCGCATACCTTACATCAGGAAAAGGAATTAAAAAATCGCATATAAAATTCTAAGTAAGTTATACATCAGATAAGTTTGCCTACTTCCAAATTGTGCCATAGAGATAACATACTATAACGGTTTGAAATGTTAGATTCACTGTTTTGAAACAAAAAATGCGTGGCTGTTTTCATTTCCTGTTTTCTTAATTTTCATTTTATCCCGAACGAAAACTTTTCCATAAAGTTATTTTAACGGGACAAAATGGAGCAATCGGCAGATTCAAAGAAAAATAAATTTTGAATTGTTTTCATTCATTGTGCTTTTCTAGTTCACAAGATTTTTCATACAAATCAATTTACGACCAGTATGAGACCTATACTATCTACCAATTCCATACGAACCTCCTCGGATGGACATTTTCCTCACCTAGAGAGGAGGATTTATCCTTTTATGTGCTACATCGATGCAGAGCTGTACTTTTCTTGCGAATATTTTACGCATAGGTGACCGCTTCAAATATCTGTTTGATCACTAGTCGAGTCTGGAACATTCTGGTGTGTAAATGAGGACTCTTCTGTTGAGCTATATAAAAGTACTGGCCAACGTTTTTCGATTTAAACATTGTGCATCATATGTTATGTACGCTTTCAAAGAGTCCGATTAAAAAATGTGTTAGCCATGTGCAACAAAATAGGAAGCTGATAATAATAATAGTAATAATATTTTAAAAAAAACGCCAGAGGCCTTAAATTCGTTATTGAGTTTTCTAAACTCCATCATAAAACCAAAAGATATAATCAGCAACTGACAGTTATACGAAAGCTAAAGTTTTTGTCACATAAACTAGTGGCCTGCGGGGCGTGTGCGGACTGCGAATATATTTCATTTATGTAGTTGTTGCAAACAACGTATTGCAAAGATTTCAAAATTTTAATTATTTAAATTCCAAGTTTACATTGTTTTCACGATCATTAAAAACGAACATGAATAACGCACTAGAAAATCTATAAATTGAGGTACTTAATTTACGGTGTGATATAAATCTTATTCAAATATTTGAAGATACATATTTTGTTAACTTATCAAAAAATAAATAAGGTATGTTACGAATTTTTGCTCTAAGAATAATCACTTTGTTTGAAAATGCATTTATATGTGAACAGCTTTTTTTCATAATTGCAAAAATAAGAAATAAAGAAGTTTGTAATTATTTACATATGAAACGTACTTTTATGTATGCTTGGAACTAAATTTTAACGAGAAAGAGACTAAATTGTTATTATTTAATCTCAAGTTTTGTCCCATTTGGTAATTTTTTTCTGAAAACTTAAAAAGTTTTCATAATGTGCTTATTGTAAGTGTAAATTAAAGTAAGTTATTTAACGATTAATTAAACGAGTTAGAATTAATTGAAAAAAACGTCAGTCTAAAAATTTAATGTTCTTTGTCAATATATTTGAATTGCAAGTAATGAATTACATTTATTCAACATGTCACTTCACATTTCAGACAGAAAATAAATATAAATTAAAAATTTTCTCTTTGCGATATTATTATTATGCATGTTTTAATAAATATTTAGTAAACGAAATTTAAAATTTATTAAAAATATTTTTTATTTTGTTAAACAAATTCTGATTCAACATATATTTTCAGATACCGCATTCGGCCGGCATGCAGTTTGAGTTAATTCGTTGTTATTTCTGTAAAAGAAATTAAGAAATACATTTTTGAAAATTAAGTATTAGAAGAAATAGTAAGCTTTCCTACTAATTTAAGATTCTAAAATAAAAATTTTCTATCCAATCTTGATCTTATATCTACATTCTTCAAATATTTTATCAAACGTTTGTGTTATTGTTAAACAAAGGAGAATATGCAGATATTATCTTCAATCTTTCTCGAAATTTTAAATGATAAAAGTAGCATGTGATTTATAATTCATTCTATCTATTTTGCTTTAATATGATAACATTTACCGAGTTAGAACTGTGTATTAAATTTCATTACTTTAAGTGATCGCAGACTTCAATAAAATAAAAATAAATGAGTTAAATGCTTTATTACTTAACTAAACAACTGTTCTTAAATTATAGGACCGAAAGATACAAAATAAATTTAAAATGAATGCAAAGTTGTTTAATCTCATTTTTAAAATTACTTCCTTTGCATGTAAATGTGTAAGTGTGATTCATTTTCTTCCTTTTGCTTAAAAGCAAGTGTGATGTTAGAATAAACGAAAGATTTGTGTTACCAAAAGTCTTGACGATGAGAATGATGAAATGTTTTTTTTTAATTATTCGCGAGTAAAAAGAAAACAATAAAAGCTGCAGTTGCCTTGGGTTAAATTGAAATTGTCAAACCTCGGCTAATCTTGTTATTTTACGAATAAAATGCATTTTGCTACAAAAGGTAACGTTTGCATTTAATTAAAGATATTCAAAAGTAAAGGGATGTCAGTTAAGCTTATTTTTGCAATTAATTTGTTTTACGAAGAAAGGAAGATTTTTTTGTGCAATGAACATGTATCTGAAATAAAATACGAAGCATTTTATCTGAGATATACCATTATATTATATTGTATATATTATTGTCTGGTGAATGTCCAAAATATTTGCTATATTTCGTTGTTTTACTTACACTGGGAAATGTCTACATTCAAAATGCAGTGATGGTGAATGCTGGATAAAAATATTTTTATTACGTTAAGACAAAAATACAACTTTTTAAATAATACCTTATTAGTTATTGTGACTTAGTATTTCACTTGTCTGACTGTAACACCAGAATAGGCCCACGATATTCATCGTGGCAAGGTGTTCAAGATTGTGCCTGTCGTGGGCAAGAATCTTGACCATCATACAGTGACAAATAAAATGCTAAGTAAAGATGATGAATATAAAGCGTCAGTGATTGGGATTATCGGCATAAAGGACGCCATCTCGAAATTTTCAAATGAAAAAGGAGAGGTGTGTTATACATGAATTTCGGATCGAATTATCTCAGAAATTCATAGGCAGTTTTTTTTACATATTTAAACCTTAAGAAGATAACGATTTATGAAATTAACATAAATGGACCATAACAGATATTGTTTCATTCCTGGTAATTCTGTCTGGTACTTGCGGTTCAGAAAAAACTGAGATCTTCTTTACGAAAGATATAGAAGAAGCTCCAATGTAATGCTGATGAATTTAACAATCTATAACACCAACAGTTTCAAGTTGTTACAAAATTTCAGTCAGATGGGTTTGATGATAAACACCAGAAAACACGTTCAAAATCTGCAATAAACGAAGTAACTTCTAATGCAGTTCTCGCTACTGTGAACAGCCCTAAGTACCTCTGTAATGCATATTAGGTACCTCTGTAAACCGACGTGATCTAAAGTTGGATTATATGATTGTTATACTCAAATCAATGATGTTATGCACAAATTAAATGAAGATAATTTTCATGTACATCAGAACCATACATACATAGGGCTTGAAATCGTAAAATTCACCGAAGGTTTCAAGTTCAGCTTGAAACCATCGAAGGTTGACATTTAGTGACGAGGCAGTTTTCTTTGTGAATGATAAAATTACCAAGCAAAATTGTAGATACTGGTGTAATTTAGAAATCTGTCTTCTTCTATCTGTCAGTGACCTAGAGGACCACATGGAATGACGAAATAACAAACCAATTGATGGTAGATTTATAACAACTTCATACAACATTATTCTTTTAACAAATAAGTACATAAAACATGAACTAAATTATGTTTCCTCGAAAACTTCTTGTTTATATTAATGGATTACATGGAATTTTT